TTACTTACAAAGAAAAAAAAAAAAAATGAGATTTGGACTTTAACCAGAACAATCTTCAAGGTAACTGAGTAGAGAGAAAGATCTGTTCCTAACCAGGGAGTATACTCAGGAAAAGACAACCAACATACTATATATGACTAAGAACAAAGACAAAGATGAAGGCAGAGAATAAACGATGATGAAAAGTGGACTTTTTAATCTAGGTGATATTATACACATGAGAAGACTATACTTGGGAACAGGTACTAATATGAAATAGAGATACAATCAGAGAAATGCAAATCTAGATGCAAACCAAAACCATTAAATGATTTTAGCAAAACTCTGGATTGTAAGGCTGGGCTATAGCTCACCCTTGTAATCCCAGCTATTCTGAAAGCAGAGGTCAGAGGATCCTAAATTTAAGACAAGCCTCTGTCATAATATAAAAAAGTCTGGGGACACAGCTCAGTGATAGAATGTGTATCTAGCATGTGTGGTAAGACTGTGGGTTCAATCCACAATACACAAATGAAAAAAACCCAGACTGTAAAGCCTAGTGAGGATTTATTTATGCTTTGTTCACAGCTATATAGAAACTACTGCTGTAATGGGACTTAACCCACAGAATGTGCTCAAAGCTATCTGTTCTGTGAATGAAAAGAGGGGAGTGAGGTAAAAGTAAAGCTGTTTTCTTTTTTTTAGTCTTTCTGAGATAGGGTCTTGCTATGCAATGCAGGCTGCCCTCGACCGCACTTTGTAGCCCAGGCTGGTCTCAAACTCAAGGATCTTCCTGCCTCAGCCTCCTGAGTGCTGGGATTATAGGTGTGCAACACCACACCCGCTGTCTTTTTCTGAGACAAGTTCTTGCTAAGTTGCCCAGTTGGTCTCAAACTTGTGATTCTCCTGCAGCCTCCTAGAGTGCTGGGACTACAGGCAGGCACCACTATGCCCCACCTCAAAAAAACAAAATATAAGGAAATTTTTTTTATTTTGAGATTTATCCATGTAGTTGCAGACCTGACTGAGAGGAATAGTTGGGGTAAATCACACAGGTTCTGGTGACTAATGAATGAACTTGTGTTTTTCTCTGAATGAAATAGGAGGGTGAGAGACTCTGACCAAGATCTGACTTGATTTGACTTACAATAAGCAGTAGTCCTCCCCTATCTGCAAGGGATATAAGACTGTCCCCACAAACTGTGTGCAGAAACTAGGTAATTCACATATTCACTGTGTTTACTTTATAGTACATACCTATGCTGATGTTTAATTTAAAAATCAGGAATAGGACATTAACAATAACGAATAAAACAGAACAATTACAATAATATTCTGTACTGAAAACTGTCAAAAATCACACTTTTGCCACTAAGGAACCATAATGAAGTGGCTGGGTTACATTAACACAAGCACTGATATTTCAGTGCACTTTGTAACAGACGCATCAACAGTAGGACATGTGGACAGTGTGGCTACTGCAGACAAAGGGACAAGTCAAGTTCTAAGTGGGATGGAGGAAAACAGGATGGGATGACAAATTTCTCACTACTCGGAATGCTGCACAATTTGTAAGTTATGAATAATTTCTGAAATTTGCCATTTAGTATTTATTTTCAGATCCTAACTGAAACCAGGAAAAGTGAAATTGCAAATAATGGGGGCAACAAGAATACAGGGTTCTGTCATATGAGCACTGTGTTAAAAAGTGATCAGGAGGGAAAAAGTAAAATCAAAACACCCTACTAGAGGTAACCCAAATAAGAGAAGATGGTATTAGTGGTGGAAATGGTGAGAAAAGGATTCAGATGCATTTCTGAAAGAGTAGAGATTTCAAGGTATCCCTAACCATTTAGGGTATAAGAGAAGGATCAAGGTGACTACACAGTCTGGTCTAAACTGGAAGAACAGGTTGTCATTAAATGATAGAATACTTTGGGATGAACACACTGCATTTGTAAAAGAAAGAGTTACATTAGGCAGTTAGTTGTGAAGACATTAAGTAGTTACTCATATGACCTGAGAATTTGGGGACAAAGCTTAAACAGAAGACAGAAATTTGAAAATAAGCACCAAAAGGAAAAGGCATGAACTGGAAAGAACTACTAAGAATAAGGAGGGCATGACAGCTATACTCCCAGCACTTGGGAGGCTGAGGCAGGAGGATCACTGAGAGTTCAAGGCCAGCCTGGGCTACATAATGGAGCTTTCAAGACCAGCTCTCATGAGACCCTGTCTCTTTTTCCTTTTTCCTCTGTGTGTGTGTGTGTGTGTGTGTGTGTGTGTGTTGGGGATCAAACTCAGGATCTTAGGCTTGCCAGGAAGGTGCTTACATCACTGAGCTATCTCCTGGGTCTGAGACATGTCTCCACACAAAAAAAAAAAGCTACTAAGGAGATACAAATACAGAAAACTCTGAGTTCAATCCCTGGTTCTGTAAAAAAATAACAAAAAAAAAAACAAAACAACAACAAAACACACACACACACACAAATACAGAAACCTAAAAAACTAGGTCTGCTGCATTCCAACAGTAAGAAATCTCAGGAAATACAGATAAATCAGAATCAGTGATCTTGTTTAGACCAACTAGAACACAGCTCAAATGAACTTTAGTTATACACCAAATAAGTATATCACCAAAAAAGAAATATCTAAATCTTGTCAAACATCACATAGATGGAAGAATTTGCCTATAAACTGAACCCAACAAACTCAGGAGTGAAATCTAGTAACAGTCTGAAAACTCAGAATATTTAACTTACAATGTTTACAAATTGTATTTACACATGAAAAGTAATGAACTTTTCAAATTTGTAAGATCTACAACTATATATAAATTCTCATGGGAGAAGCTGTAGTATTTATTACTTCACATACTATCCAAGATATTTGTACTGTTTTTACCTAGTGAGCAGTTGCTCTGCATCCTCCCATCTGTGGAACAGCGTAACATGGTGCCAACTACACGGCCTCCCACGACAATGACACGCACATCCCGTCCGTGAGATTCCTTCACGTACTTCTGAAACAGGTACGGAGCTTCATGGCGAATAAGATGGCTTAGATCAGCCAAATGGTGCTTATCTCGTGCCAAGAAAACAGCCTTGCCTATGATTGAAAAAGCACATAAAATGTATCAGATAATGAAAATAAAAACAAAGTTAACAAAATTCTGCCCTAACCCTACAATCCCCAAACGCTTCATATATTGGAACTCATTTTGTTGTACATTTCGAGGTGGCTGTCAGGATTTGTATTCTTTCATAAGTTAGCCAGGGGGTCGGGGAGATAGCTCAGTAGAATAAGCGCTTGCTTGGCAAGTATAAGGGCCTGAGTTCAAGCCCCAGTTTGCCAAAAAAAAAAAAAAAGTTAGCCAGTAATGTTAGCCTCATCAATTACTAAAACATTTTCCCTTTGAATTAAAATGTGTTATATATGATTATAAATCAATACTGTATTAGTTAGCAACATAGCACATTGTTACTATTTACTTCAATTTATTTCTGAATTTGCTAGTCTTATTCAACTGTTGTGGCTATATTTTTGTGATAATGGAGGGAGCTCTTTTTAATATATGGTTATAAATTCTGCTCTTGGAGGACAAGATTTATGTTTCTTCCTGCTGAATCTAGGAGGGACTGTGTTGTTCCAACCAAAAGAATATAGCAGAGGCAAGCCTATAGGACCCTAAGGCTAGGTCTTAAAAGGTCTTGCAGCTTCTTTGTTAATGGAGCGGCATTCATGGTGGGAGATATGAGTATTTTTAACTGCCATACTGGAAAAGCCAAATATAAAAGAATATTCATATATTCTACAGCCTGGCTGAACTCTGACCCAGCTACTCCTATCAAGGCACAAAACACATATTATCCTTGGATTCATGTGCCTTAAAATTTTTTCCTTAAAGGTCAAACATGATGGCCCACACCTGTAATCTCAGCATTTAGGAAGCTGAAGAAACAGTATCATTTCAAATTGGAGATCAACCTGGGCTACAAAGTGAGCTCAAGGCCAGCCTGAACTGCATAGTGAGATCTGTCTCAAAAACACAAAACAGAGCACGGTGATGGATTTATGGTGGGCCCGTCCATGTGGGCCTTCCACAGTGTGCCATGCGAGAGCAAAGTGCGCCTCGAACCATTGTCTGGCCTCTGCTGTGAGCTGAGAGCACTGAAGGGGGCTGCACAGTGTGGGAAAAAAATTTTTTTTTCTTTCCCTTAGTCTTGTTGGGTGTAATGGCATCACTTGAAGTCCTATCACTCAGGAGACTGAGGCAGGAGGATCACCATGAGTTTATGGCCAATCTGAACTATATAGTGAGATCCTGCCTCAGGAAAACAAAGTCTTCCTTAATCTGAAATCACTATACTATTTCCAAATGTCTTTTAAAATTTTTAGCATCTTTACCCCCTATACAATTAGCATTCAAAATACATAAATTAAGGCAATAACTGAAGTTAGAGCTCTGAGGTCCTTGTATTGCTGAGAAAAATAAGGACATTTAACTTAAGATCTGGTCTAGTCATACATGTTTAAAATCTCTAGGAAAACCACTAAACAGACATAGTCTAGGCCAAAATGAACTTGCAATAACTTTCTGAAAGTTTGAAGTATAATGTAAGGGTGTATTGGGGCTGGTGAGATGGCTCAGTGGTCTAAAGCACCTACTTAGAACAAACTTAGCAAAGCAGAGACCACAGTTCAATCCCCCAGCACCACATACCAGCCAGCCCCGCCCCCTGGTGGGCTGAGCTGGCCACACACACACACACACACACACACACAAATAAAATTAAAAAAAAAAAAGAAAAGGGTGTACAGGGTGTTCAGGGCCTCACTACTAGATTGGACTCATAGTGATCCACCTGTTTACAGCCTCTCAAGAGCTGGGATTATAGATGCATACCACCATGCCCAGTCTTAACTGCTGTCTCAGCCAGCCCTGGGGGTGGGGCCAGCATGGCAAGCCTGGTGATCAAACACCTGGCAAATGTGCTGAGCTATTTGGCCAGCTCTTCAAATTGTCTTTCCTAACTTGCAACAGTAACAACTTCAAAGTTCTGTACCATATCAACAACTGATACATACCTCTATGACCCCGTGTATTCTTTACTACCATTGGGAATTCCAGCACTTCTGCTTCATCAATCATTTTAGCAAAATTTTCATGGCCACCTGAACAAAGAAAAAACAAACAAACAAAAAAAAGGACAAAAAAAAAAAGAAATTTATCAAGAAGAGTGGAAGTATTTCGTGATCAATTTTTTTGATAAAGACAGCAGCACAGAAGGTAGAAGCTAAAGTCTGATGAGTATTTTCTTAGAAAATGTAAATATCAACTGCAAATATAATTATCAATTACAAACAACCACACTGTAAAAACAAACAGATTACAGCTATTGTAACACTATACACATTCTATTATCCAACTTAAAATACTTTCTAGCTAAGCAGAATTTCCTCATTCATATTTTTATCCCTTATTCCTTCCCCACACAAACTATAAAGGCCCCAAAGACGACTGTAACACATACAATCTCCTGGGCCAGATTAAGAAACAGAACAGTGAAGTTGCTGAAAAAACGCTGCCAGGGTTTCAGAGACGTTGCATTCATATGTACACCCACAAATGCTCACATGTGCTCAAACACACGTGCAAGCGCGCGCACACACTTCTTGATTACCAAACGCACATAACTTTATCTCCATTTTTTAGTCAAAATTCTTTCTACAATGAGATACTTGGCATTCATAGGTTTCTTGCTCCTTACTCCCCAAGAACAAATGATACAGCAGCAAAGTAAGAGCAAAAATGGACTGCATTGTAAAACTCTTTTGGCGGTACCAGGGATTGAACTCAGGACCCTGCACTTGCCAGGCAAGCACTTATGCTGTTGAGCTATCTCCACGGGGTTGGACTGTACTGTAAAACTTCAGCCTGACAATAGAGGAAATTAAGCCAGAAGATGGTTCATTAAATAACTGCTATATGAAAAATTTTCAGGGCAGAGAAAGGTGATTTTGGTCACCAAATGTGAATTCATCAACATTAGATAGCATTTGCTACTTTGCTCAATCTTTTTCTCATTTCCATTCTTATAAAAATTAGAATTGCAAAACCATGATATAAGCTAGTATCTCAAATGCAACAAGACATATTTCTCAATTTATATTAAATTTTATTTTTTTTCCTCTGCAACTAAAATCAACAACTGTTGGGGCCAGCAAGATAGCTCAGTGGACTAAAATACCTGCTTAAGCAAGCTTAGGCAAGCACAGGGACTGCAGATCAATCCCAGGCATGGCACTGCTTACTCTATGTGATTATGTATCAATAACAAGTCATAAACACAGGTTATAGGACCATGCTTTTTGGGTAGTACTGTTCTGATCGGGGTTATGCTAATACATTTCCTGTCCTTCCTGTTCTGCTATGGATCAGTATGAAATGTTTCCTACATAGTCATTTCTCCATATAAATGTCCAATAGAATGTGATGCCAGGCCCACCCCTGGGGCGGGCTGAGCCAGCCAGAGTATGGGCGTGGTGGCACATGCCTATAATCCCAGCACTGGGGAGGTTGAAAGCAGGAAGATCATCACAAGTCCAAGCTGCATACCGAGACCCTGCAACAACCAAATACATTAAAAATATAAATCAGCAATTGTGTCCACATATTTGGGAATTTTCTTAAACAGAAAAGGGCTGGGGAGATAGCTTAGCACTCTAAGCGCCTGCCTGGCCAAGTGCAAGGACCTAGGTTCAATCCCTGGTACCACATGCTGTGCCAGCTGTGAACCAGGTGTGGTAGTGGGCGTGGCGGTGCACACTTGTAATCCTAGTGCTGGGGAGGCTGAGACAGGAGTCTGAACTGCATAGTGAGACCCTGTAACAAAGAAAAGTAAAGTAATTCTTTTAAAAAAATTAAGAAAGACAATTATTTTTTTAAGACTCGTTCGATCTCCAAGCACTGTACTGGACATTTATTTGGAGAAATGCCTATGAGGAAAACATTCCACACTAATACACAGCAGAACAGGAAGGACAGGAAATATATTAGCATAACCCTGAACAAACAGTAGTACTCAAAGTACGGTACTACAACCTGTTTATGACTTGTTTGTTACTAAACAAAATCACACAAGAGTAAGCAACAGAGGTTCTTATAACAGTTTGGTGTTCCTATGCTTTTATTATATATTACCTGAGTAATAATACAGATTGAACTGTTAAAAAATTTCACATACTTTAGAACAACTGTTTTAAAGCTCTGCCTGGTAATTTTCTTTAAAAATATGAACACATGAAGAGTTACAAAAATGATAAGACAATAAGAAATTAAATAATAACCCTGAATTTTCTTCTTTTACTTCAAGTTTAAGGCTGTGGGCCAAATTTGGCCTATTATCTAGTCAAAAAGTTTTACTGGAACAGAGACATATTTACTTACTTATGTACTGTTATTAGTTTTCATATACCAAAGAATGTATGGTCTGTAAAACCTAAATATTTACTATCTGGCCATTACCAAAAAAGCTGGCTAACCCAAATTTATCCATATCATGGAACTAATCTTATAATTCATAATTCTTTGTCCAGTTTGTTAAAACTGAAAGTCGTTATTTCTATTAAAAGCTTTTTCAAGTTCATACATATACATCTACCACTTAGGCTTGGTGTGGTAGCTCATCCCCCTGTAATCCCAGCATTTGGGAGACTAAGGAAAGAGGTCACAAGTTTAGGACCAGCCTAGGGTATATACAAATTCAAACCCACAACCTGAACTACCTAGCAAGATGCTGACTCAAAAACAAAACACTTAGTTTAGATCTCAAAACTGATTAGCTAGCAGTGCTTCTAAAATGTAGGCTATATAGTCTCATTTAAGGTCTCACCGTAAGAGAAAGTGTCTGGCAGAGGAACTCCGTGGCCAGCTAACTCTTGAAATGTCCAAAATTTATTAACACAATTCAGTATGGCCTGAGGTCGGTTCATCAATCGGCAGCCCATCTTCTCCAGATGACGCAACACAGTGATGTCACTATCACTCTGCACCCAAGGGGTGGGGACTCTCACTACCACCACCTGGGGATAGGCTGAAATGAGTTCTCCATTGATCCGCAGACCTGAAATGTACAGGAATAAAGTTAAACCCAGTGGAAAGAAATATATGGAAAGAGAAAGAATAAAATCCCAAAGTGTGGAATACAAAAGTAAATATATTATGTTATTCATCACTGGAGACAGAATTACTCCCATTAGAAAAGAAAAAAACGGGACCGGGGAGATACCTCAGTAGAATAAGCGCTTGCCTGGCACGTTCAGGGTCCTGAGTTCATTCAATCCCCGGTTCCACACACACACAAACACACACACACACACACAAAGAAAAAAAAAGAAAGAAAGAAAGAAAGAAAGAAAGAAAGAAAGAAAGAAAGAAAGAAAGAAAGAAATGGGGCCGGGGAGATGGCTCAGTGAATAAGCACTTCCCTGGCAAGCACAGGGGCCTGAGTTCAATCCCCGGTTCTGCAAAAAAAGAAAAAAAAAATTTTCCCCATATTTTAGGGAACGGTCTACAGGGAGTTTAGGCTCTCACTGACTACTAGATCGGACTCATAGTGATTCTCCTGTTTAAAGCCTCCCAAGTGTTGGGATTACAAGCATGTGCCACCAAGCCCAGTTTCAATTGGGGCCCAGTCTCAGCACAGCAGGCCCAGGTACAGAATCCCCAGCCCCTGTACCTGCTTGCAGGTGCTTAAATCTGCTGAGCTATTTGGCCAGCAGAAAAAAATTCTTCATATGATTAACTAAATCACATCATATGCTAATGAGTTACTACATATATATTCAGACACAGAAAAAACCTAGATATAAAATGCTGAGTGATTTTAGGGGCATACCAGAGTAAGTCTGATGCAATTATACAAACAAAATGTCTTAAAAGGATAAATAAAAGTAGCTTCCTGTATGATCGATGACTAGGAGGCAAGACAGGAAAGGAAGGCAAAACAGGGAACTCGAATACTGTGCTTCATGCAACTCTCCACATTTTGTTTCAAGTAAGTTCATTTGTGAAGCTGGGGAGATAGCTCAGTGGAATAATTGCTTGCCTGTTAAGTGCAAGGTCCTGAGTTTGATCCCTGGTACCAAAAATTAAAAAAAATTTAAAAAAAAAACTCAGGGAAAATGAAGGTAGATGAATCATTGGTAACAAGTAAGTTCATTTGCTTCTAAAAGGAAAATTTTTCTAAAACTTTTAAAGGACGGTTCCTCAAATTTTTACACAATGTCATTCTTTACAGGAACAGGTGGCCCTCCACCCCAACCCTAGTACTGGGGATTGAACCAGTACTTTTTTATTTTGGGACACTGTCTTGATAAACTGCTAAGCTACCTGGGCTAGGGTCACACTTGCACTCCTCACACCTCGGCCTCCCAGAGTGCTGAGTACTGACCTTGTCTGCATGCCCAGAAGGAACTAAGTGTGTGACTGCCTTAATCCTTAAGGGCTACTTGAGGGGCTGGGAAGATAGCTTGGTGGTCTAAGCGCCTGCCTGGCACCCGCAAGTACCCGGGTTAGGTCCCTGTTACTGCATGCCATGTTAGCCCGAGAACACTAGGCGCTCCGTGTACTCTGCCTGCCCTGAAACGGCATGGTGGCACACATCTGTACTCCCAGGCCTGGGGAGGCTGAGATAGGAGGATCACTAAAGGCTGAGCTGCATAGTGAGACCTTGTACCAAATAAATACTTAAAGGCTAATTGACTTAAAAGTTATTTGTTTAAAACATCCAAATACAAGAATTCGGAACATACTCACTTTTCACCCGCTCCCTAGGTAGTTACTAGTATGTGCTACTGCCACTGTCATTTAAGCATATAGAAAAATATACATTAAAGAGATCTTACTAAAAAAAAAAAAAAAAAAAAAAGAGAGATCTTACTTATATTGCTTTATGTAAATTTCTTCTAGCATTTAAAATACACAATAGACCTCTTTCTACTCAATACATGTAAGTAGCTTTATTTCACTATTTTTGTATTTAGTACAGGGTCTACAGTCTCACTACATAGACTGGGTTTGTTCCTGATCCTGTTTATAGCCTCCCAAGTACTGGGATTACAGGAGGGCCACCACACCCAGCTTCAGTCACCTTCTCAGTGTACCCTGGGAGGGGGAGGTGACACTGCAGGCCGGCAGGCCAGGGCAGGCTGGGGATCAAACCTCTGCCCCTGTGTCTGTCTAAGCAGGCACTTTAATCCATTGAGCTATCTGACCGGCCCTATTTCACTTTTTGCTGGGCTAATTCAATTACATTTTTATGGGGCTGGTGAGATGGCTCAGTGGTCTAAAGCACCTACCTAGAACAAGCTAAGCAAAGCACAGGGACCACGGTTCAATCCCCCAGCACCACATGCCAGCCAGCCCCGCCCCCTGGTGGGCTGAGCTGGCCACACACAGACACAGACACATACACATATAAATAAAATTTAAAAAAATATTACATTTTACAGAGAAAATGCACGATCAATTCTTTAAAGAAAGGTATTTAATTTTTTTTTTTTTTTTTTTTTGCAGAACCGGGGATTGAACTCAGGTCCTTGCACTTGCCGGGGAAGTGCTTATTTTACTGAGCCATCTCCCTGGCCCATTCACTCAATATTAATATGTATCAAGATTCTTTTCTATGTGCTCAAGATTGACAAATATTTCTCAATAAATTAAAAAAAAAAAAAAAAAAGATTGACAAGACAGATAAAGTCTTTGCTTTCAAGATTTCATCCCTAGTAGGGAAAGGTACAGACACACATATATTCACTTCTATGGTGCTGGCTCTGACGCATAGTAGTTTTGACAGGTCAATAGAAGTATTAACAGCAATGTTAGGTCAGAAATCAAGGAGCTTATGTGCATGGGTGCTTTTTTAAAAAATTTCAAAACAATATGGCTTCAGCTGTAATATAATATAAAGTAAAAGATAACAGCTGGTAGGATAAGTACACAAACCAAAAATTATGAGCTTTAAATAAAAAGTACGTCAGATCAGAACCTCTACTTGAATATATTAAGACTACAAATTATGTGCGTAAGTCATACTGGTAGAATGGATCATGTATACATATATGTTTATGTATCTAAAGGAATCAGTTTAGAGAGCAATAGTTTAAAAAAACAAACAAACAAAAAAAGATATAGGCTGGCCAGCTGGCTCAATGGACTAAAGTGCCTGCTTAGGCAGGCACAGGGACCAGGGTTTGGATCCCTGGCATGCCGTGCAGGCCCCAAACCCAAGGCATGCTTAAAGCAGACAGTGACTGAGACTGGGCGGGTGGTACATGCCTGTAATCCCAGTGCTTGGGAAGATGAAAACAGGAGAATCACTATGAGTCCAATCTACATAAGGAGACCTTATAGACCCTGTAAACCCTGTACTAAATACAAAAACTCCCACTAAAAAAAAAGTAAAAAGACAAGAAAAAAAAAAAAAAAAAAGCCATAAAAAAGGGGCCAGGGAGATGGCTCAATAGAATAAGCGCTCCCCTGGCAAGCGCAAGAGTCTGAGTTCAATCCCCAGTTCTGCCTCCCCAAAAAAGTCAATGACAGAATCTTGAAACCAGCAAGAGAAAAGTCCTCTCTCTATGCAAGTGGGCTCCCATCAAATTATCAAAGGGAACCGGATGATATATTCAAAGTAATGAAAGGAAAAAGTGCCAACCAAGAATACCACATTCACCAAATTGAAGGAAAACTAGATGTTTCCAGAATCAAAACTCTGAAGGGTCTCATCACCACTAGTGTCTTTACAAGAAATGCTAGTCAATCACATTGAAAGAGACAGATACCAGAAAACATGGAAGCACAGAAAATCTTGAAATATATAAACATATAACACAAGCAATGAATAAATGACTTGATTTTGATGGATAACTTAAAAGATAAAAAGCATAAAATAACTCTAAAGCTATGTTGGCTGGTTTTTTTTGGTGGTACCAGGGATCAAACTCAGGACCTTGCACTTGCCAGGCAAGCACTTAGTCCACTGAGCTATCTCCCAGCCCCATTGATCTTTTTGAGAAAGGGTCTCACTATGCAGTTCAGGCTGGCCTTGGGCTCACTTTGTAGCCCAGACTGGCCTCAAACTTGCAGCGATCCTCCTGCCTCAGCCTCCACAGCGCTGGGATTACAGGCATGTGCCACCACACCTGGCTGCTGTTGGTTGATACAAAATATAAAGACATCTAATTTTTGACAATATAAGGTGGTAGGAATAAAGACACAGCATTTATATGCAATTAGTTGTGACTTAAAAATAGACTAACTTTTTAGGAAAAGTTTTATGCAATCCCAAAGCACAAATACCCTTAAATGTTGTTGGTAGGTATATAAATCAGTATAACCCACAGAAAATAGTATTGCAGGTTCTCAAAAACTTAAAAATAGGGGCTGGGGAGATGGCTCAGTAGAATAAGCACTTCTCTGGCAAACACAAGGGCCTGAGTTCAATCCTCGGTTCCACAAATAAATAAATATATAAAATAATTCACTTTCAAAAACTAGGACATACAAAAAAAGAAAAAAAAAAAAAAAACTTAAAAATAAAGTGTTAGGCATGGTAGCTTGTAATCTCAGCACTTGGGAGGATTGAGTTCAAGACTAGCCTGAAGCTACAAAGTGACCTCAAGGCCTGCCTGAACTGCATACTGAGATTCTGTTTCAAAATAAGATAGATAAGATAGATAGATCAATCGATCAATCAATCAATCAATCTCTCATGTCAGCAATTCCACTTCAAGACACAACTATCTGGGGCTGGTGAGATGGCTCAGTGGTCTAAAGCACCTACTTAGAACAAACTTAGCAAAGCAGAGACCACAGTTCAATCCCCCAGCACCACATGCCAGCCAGCCCCACCCCCTGGTGGGCTGAGCTGGCCACACACACACACAGACACACACACATAAATAAAAAATTAAAAAAAAAAAAAAAAAGACACAACTATCTGCATTCCCATGTTCCCTGCAGCATTAGTCCTAGCAACCAAGTAATATAAATAGCCTAAGTATCTGTTGATAGACTTTACTATAACAGCAAGAAAGGTGTATACACACTGGAATATTAGCCTTTAAAAGTAGGAATCCTGTTGTGTTACAAAACAACTGAAAAAAAGAAGAAAAAAAGGGTGGGGGGCCTGGGAGATGGCTCAGTGAAATAAGCGCTTCCCTGGCAAGCGCAAGGGCCTGAGTTCAATCCCCAGTTCCACCAAAAAATAAAAATAAATAAATACGTAACTGACATACTAAGAAAACAGAAATATATAAAATGCTCAACTGAAACTATAAGGGGGTGGGGGAGTAGCCACGCATGGTGACACACGCCTGTAATCCCAGCACTCAGGAGGCAGAAGCAGCAGGAGCCCTGTGAATTCAAGGCCAGCCTGCAGTACGTAGTGAGACCCTGTCTCAAAATAAATAAATAAATAAATAAATAAATAAATAAATAAATAAATTTAAAAAGGAGAACAAAAAGCAAAGCAAAAAAAAAAAAAAAAGCCTGGGAGATAGCTCAGCAGCGTAAGTGCCTATCTGGCTATGTCGCAAGCATAAGGTCCCCCATTCAATCTCCAGTGTTTAAGAAGGAAACAAACTTACAAAAGACAAAACAAAGGGAAACTTAAGTAACAAATGATATTTTAATCTAAATTAAATCATTTTAAATGTCAATGGTTTCCTTAAAAAGGAAACTGCTATTTTCAGAGTGAAACAGAAAACAAGACCCAATTATAGGCTAGGGAGACAGTTTGTTGGTCTAAGCGCCTGCTTGTCAAGTGCAAGGACTTGGGTTTGATCCCCTGTACCAAGTCTTGCCAGGGCTGAAACCCCAGGCATACCATGCCAGCCACCAAAACTAGATGGCCACCAAAACCAGGCATGATGGTGCATGCCTACAATCTCAGGCTGAGACAGGAGGATCACCACAGGAGTCATACATATGAGACCCTGTACCAAATAAATAAATGATTTAAAAAGACCCAGTTACACACTGTGTATAAGAAACTCATTGAAAAGCCAGACACAGAGGTGTCTTCCTATAATCCTAGCACTCAAAGAGGCTGATGCTGAAGAATTCTAAATTTGAGCCCAACCTAGGAAACTGAATAACTCAGCAAGACCCTATCTCAGTTAAATTTAAAAGAGGACTAAAGACATAGTAAAACACACAAATACACACACACACACATACACACACACACACACGCACATGACTTTTAACTGTTTCTACATAATACAACTAGATAAATGTTTGTGTTATAATTCTCCCATAAAATGTACTAGATTTCCTTTTTGTTTTTTTGGCAGAACCTGAGATTGAACTCAGGCCCTTGTGCTTGCCAGGCAAGTGCTTATTATGAGCCATCTCCCCGGCCCACTTAGGTTTTCATTACATATCTAGTAATGATAAGGCTGTTCACTCATTTATCGTAATTACTGCTAAAACTTGCAGATTAATCATATTCTCAGTACTACCCCAAAATATCACTCTACATACTTACCTAGGTTTCCTTGTTCAACTGTTAGCACCACCTCGTCCATCACCACAGCCCTGAAGTCCAGTTCCTCTTCACAACATTTGGCCTTCAAAGCTCGCAAGATCTCTTTTTGGGGGTAATCTTCCCTGATGCGGCGATCTGTCAAAAACCACAATTTGGCAGCCACAGAGCTGCACATCTTGATCTGCTTGTTCTTTTTCTGGATTATTTTCTCTTGAATGTAAACTATCTAGATGAAAGAGAAAATATACATACAATGTAAGTCAAGAATCTACTTGAGGGTCAGGGAGATAGCTCAGCAAATTAAAGCACCTACTTAGGCAAGCACATGGACCATGGTTCAATCCCAGCACCATATGCCATGCCAGCACCAGCCCCACTAACCCCACCAGTCCTGCACCCCTGGTGGGCTGAGCCAGCCATACAATCCAGGAGTAATGGTACACACCTGTAATCCCCGCACTGGGGAGGCTGAAAACAGGAGGATCACTATGAGTCCAAGCTGCATAGTGAGACCCTGTAATAACCAAATGCATTTTTTAAAAAAAGAAATCTATTTGACTTCTGGATTCCAAACAAAAGGTATGGTTATATACTAACTATAAAATAAAAAAAAAAAAAGGGGGAGAAATACTGTGCCTTTTTTGACAACCACAGCAGTAATGACCCAGGAAAACTATCTGCCCCTTTTTAAAATTTTTGTTGTTGTTCTTATCCCTCTTTTTTTTTTTTTTTTTTTTTTTTGGCTGGCTCCGAATGCCTTCAGGGCAGGTTTTGAGTTCTGGGGCTCGAATCATAGCAACTTGAGTCTGACTGCTTTGTTGAAGCAGCCACTTAAAGAACTGAGCTAAGGGGCAGCCCCCCTTGTTTTTCTTTTTGTCTTTTTAAATTTACTTTGAAGAGAGTATACTAATTGATATGACATTAGAAATGGTACACATTTAACAAAAAAAAGGAAATGATACACATTTAGAAGACCAAGATGGCAAGCATTCAAGCAGGATTTTTGCATATATATTGCTGTCCTCGATGTAGTTGCTTACACCGCAGATCAACATACAGTTAGTCAAGGTCAAAATTCTACACATTAACTGCTATTCTCAAAAAATCTGATGGAATTTTTAGTACAATCACCCTTTTTAAAAATTTTTTAAAAATCTTAGTTATTGGACTGGCAAGATAGCTCAGCTATCTAAAGTACCTGCTTAGGCAAGCTTAGGCAAGACCCAGGGACCACAGCTTACTTAATCCCTGGGACCACCTGCTGTACCAGCTCTGCTCCCAGATAGGGCTGAGCTGGCCACAAAAAAAAAAAAAAAAAAAAAAAAAAAAAAATCTATTTGGTACAGGGTCTTGCCATGCAGCTTGGACTCATAGTGATCCTCCTGTCACAGCCTCTCCAGTACTGGGATTATAGCTATGCACCACCACACCTGGTTCCTGGGGCTGCCTGATTTTGTTGGCTGACACAACATGCCCAGGGGTCAAGCGCTGACACAGCATGTGGTACTAGTGTGGGATCAAATCTGGGTCCTTCCACTTGCCAGGCAGGTGCTTAAACCAAACTGTCTCCCCCGCTTTCCATCTGTCTTAACAGCAATTCTAGCAGGCCACTTGACGGGAACTGCCAATACCATATCACCTTAATATCACCTAGGAATGTACTTTAATGGTCACCAACTTTTCTTCATTATTCTATCCTTTCCCTTAAAATGCAATTCACATCCTGACAGTGGTGCACTCCTGTTAATCCTAGCACTCAGGAGGCTGAGGCAGGAGGATCACTGTGAATTCAAGACCAACCTGAGCTACAAAGTGAGCTTAAAGCCAGCCTGAAATGCATAGCAATACCATATCTCAAAAAGACCCCCCCAAAAAAAATTTTTTAATGCAGTTCAGCTATTGATATGAAACAGATGAAATTCTAAATCATTGAGATGTTGGGGATATAACAGCAGCATAAGCACCTGCCTGATAAGCACAAGATCCTGAGTTCAATCTCTGGTACCACAGAAAATAAAAAAAATAAATCATTGAGATGCCCCATTTTCCTGATCACTGAATATAAGTATATTTTTGTATTAGTGGTATGTCAATTCTCTTCCTTTGCCTTGATATGGTTGTGGAGAAAATGAACAGTAGCACCTGTTGCTGGATAAGCAAATACTTGACATCAAAAGTAACAAGATACATTTGAAAATGAGCAAAAGGACTACATATTTGTATTTCAATTAGAGGACAGTATGCTTACTTGTGTATTTCTTTAAATAGAAGTTCTGAAACAGTTGACTAGATTGTAAAATTAAACTTTAAAAAAAGTTTCCTCTAAAGAGTGCCATAGGGGATAACCACTAAGATAACAATGTACAATGTATTGATTGTTGAAACTGTCCTACTAAAAATCAGCTTTGAAAACGGCCCACCCATAGTGCACCTGGGATCCCAGTCCCTTCATCTGCCTAAACAGAAACTTTAATCTGCTGTGCTAGCTGCCTGGCCCACTGTGAGATTTTAAAAAAAATTTTACAAAAATTAAAATATCACAAAATTTCAAATATAGTATTGCTGTCTTTTACCCTTGATATTGAGGTGGGGGTTACCTGGCTCCAGAACTAACAGGTGGTCTACATCACCCCATCCCCAACCCTGGTGCTGAAGTCCGTTATATAAAATGGTGTATTTCCGTGACTATATACATCCTCCTGAACACTTTAAATCCTCTCTACACAGTATTTCTTAAAATACCTAATACAATGTAAATACTACATAAATGGCACTATACTGATTTGTTTGGGGAGAAAACTGTAACAAATTGTATATTACAACTTATCACAGACATTTTCCAAGTATTTTCAATTCAAGGTTCGTTGAAATCATGGATGCAAAACCTGTGAGTACCTAGGATCAATTATCCAAGCATTACTTCTAGATGACATTTGGAAAATCTAACAGAAAAAAAGGCTAAAGTGAAACGCTTAGAGGAAAGCAAAGGTTGACCAAATTAATCAATTTCTAAACAGCAGTACCCAGAATGGGTTGTTCAGGTACCCTTCACCACTCTTCCAGGTAGCAATTAGAAGGATCTGCTCCCCAGAGGATATAGTGAGACCAGGGTCAGCAATCCATACTTCCAGTACCACGTTCTACTATGTCTGCCCCTCATGCCACCTACTCCACTCCTATCTACCGTGTAATACACTTCCTCAAAGTCCTAAGTCCCTGGTGTTAAATAAGCAAAATATCTATGCTAGCTATAGTAACCATTCAACTGGTACACCTGCTAGCAAGGAATCACTGCTAACAATGCCATGCTACCTTCACTTTGGGTGAATTTTTAAACTACAAATGTGTAACGGTTTATGGTTATTAAAATATCGTTAGAGGGGCTGGTGAGATAGCTCAGTACAGTAAGTGCTTGCCTGGCAAGGGCAAGGGCCGGAGTTCAACCCCTGGTTCCCCCCAAAAAAATAAAAATAAAAATAAAAATAAAATCTCATTAGAGTCGGGCGTGGTGGCATGTGTGGTGAAATACAAGTGTAACCCCGGCACTTGGGAGGCAGAGGCAGCAGGATCACTATGAGTTCAAGACCAACCTGCTAGCAAAGTAACTAAGTTATTAAATAAACCAAATATACCAGAGGCTAAAAAGCAGGAGGATTACTGCAAACTGAGGCCAACCTACACTATATGAGACCCTATCTCAAAAATCTCAGAATGATCAGATCCATAAAATTAAGATACAAAATCCTTGGTTTTAACTAGAGGAAAATAGTATGTATATCCTACAAACTGTGAACTTTTATTCCCCTTTATTTATTCATTTATTTATTTTGTATTTTAGGGAAGGATCTACAGGGTGTTCAAGGTCTTACTACTAGATCAGACTTGTTTTCCATTTTTTTTTTTGCCAAACCGGGGATTGAACTCAGGCCCTTGTGCTTGCCAGGGAAGCGCTTACTCCACTGAGCCATCTCCGTGACCCCTAGATCAGACTTGTAATGATCTGCCTGTTTACAGCCTCCCAAGAGCTGGGCTTATAGGCAGGCCACCAGCCTAGTCTCAACTGCCCTTATTGTGCCCTGAGGGGTGGGACCAGCAAGACAGACCTGGGGATCAAACCCCCTACCCCCACCCCTACCCTCTGCCCCCTGTCCCTGTGCTTGATTGCAGGCACTTTAATCTGCTGAACTATTTGGCTGGCCTTCCTTTCCTTTAAACAGGTATTTTTTATAATATTTCTCTATGAAACTTTTCTTAAAAGATTTCCACTTCAGGGCTGGGGAGATGGATCAGTGGAATAAGCGCTTCCCTGGCAAGCGCAAGAGCCTGAGTTCAATCCCTGGTTCCGAGAAAAAAAAAAAAAAAAGATTTCCACTTTAGTTGTGAATAAGGTTCAGGGAAAACCTGTACTATTGTCATCTAATCTAGAGCAAAAATGTTTTTGTGTTGTGTCACAATGTGTCACAATTTCTTCTGTGTCACTCACCAGGCACTATACCCACAGACACAGGACTTGGTAAAAACTCATACTAGCAACAGCACAAAGGACATTCCAGCCTCCTGAAGAGGCTCACTAAAGATAAAGATCCACAAAAGAATATAGCACAGCACAGTACCTACAGAAAACCCTTGGTTTCTCTTAAAGGAAAAACAAAGAAAAATAAATAAATAAAAAGAAAGTCCTTAACCTGTCATCACAACTACTCAGAGCAGCTAAGGAAGGACTGCAGTGTAATGGCAACCTGAGCAACTTAGCAAGACCTTGCTCAAAATAAAGTAAAAAGGGCTAGAGATGTAGCTTAAGTGATAAAATACATAAACTGGCTGTGCTAGTTCCTAGGACAAAATGGCAAGGTGATGGGGCTGGTGAGATGGCTCAGTGGTCTAAAGCACCTACTTAGAACAAGCTTAACAAAGCAGAGGGACCGCGGTTCAATCCCCCAGCACCACATGCCAGGCAGCCCCGCCTCCTGGTGGGCTGAGCTGGACACACACACACACACACACACAAATAATTTAAAAAAAGTTAAGGTGAAACTACCACAAAACAAAGGGGAAAAAAGCAAAATCAAAGTATTAAACAGTTTTAAAACCTGTCATTAAGCTAGGTGTGATGGCACATCTGTAATCCCAATACCGGGAGGCTGAGGCAGGAGGATCATTGCCATGAGTTCCAGGACAGCCTGGGCTACAAAAAATATTTAAAACCAGCCTAAATTACACAGTAAG